GGGGGGTATTTCCTTCGGTATTTGGCTTAGCTGGCTGGCTAAATTGACTAGATCTTGTGGGCGTCGGGTGGCGGTCGTTCCCTTTAGACCATCCAGTGTGTCATTCAGTTTATCCTAGAGTGCTAGAGTTCTCATAGCGCCATTAATATCTTTGAAGGCGTTTTTGATTTCCGCGTCCGTCCATTCATGTTCTTCTTCCCTTATAAGGCATTCTATTAGGGAGTCGGCCAGTTTTGGTGTCCATTTCACATAGACTCCGCGCTGGATGAGTGTATGGTACACTAGTCGGAGGGTGTTTCGTTCGAGTTTCGTAAAGTCCTCCTCGGTCCAGTTCTTGAAGTCTGCTTAGAAGTCGGCCCAGAGTCCGCGGTCCATAACTCCCGTGGTTATATAGTATATAAATCGTGTGGTTATATATTCCTCACGCTAATCCCAGTTACATTCCCGTGGGTCAAAACCATTTCTGTGGTAGAATCTGATTTTCTCCTCTTATGTCATGTTGCCCCATGATTCGTGCGCCTCTCGGTAGGTCTGGTCCCTATCTACATGTTCATCGGGGTACCCTTGGCCTCTACTCTGGTTAAAAGCGGGTGTAGGGCTAGTGTGTTCCGTGTATGATCCGGGCATACTTGCTCGTGTATAGCTGCCCCGAGTGCGTGGTCTATACGACGGTGTTCCGTCCATAATGATGGTGAGTGGATCTGAACTTTCGTCGTCGTCTCGTGGGGTCAGGTCTTCTTCCGTGATTGGGGAATGGCGTGCGAATTGCCCTCGGTTGTTACGCTTTCGTTCACGGTGTGCAGATTTGATTGACTATGGTGTCTAGTATGCTGGTGGTGCCATATAGCTCCTACAGGTGATGCTGGGGGGAGATTGGCTGTATTCCAGCGTGGATCCGTGGAGGAGCCGGACAAGTCACAAGTAGAGAAGTTGAACAAGTCACCAGTGGGTTCTGGTGTCCCACAATTCAAAGAGGGGAAGATTTTTAGGGGTTTTTGAGTATCCCCAGTTTTTCCAATACGAAAAGGAAAAGTTTTAGTCGAATGTCCTTCGAAAAGTAGTCGTAAAGGAGGTGTTGAAAGGTAGAAACTAGGGTGTAGTTTTCTAAATCAAACTTGAAAATTGTGTTTTTAGAAGAGTGAATAGGCTTACCGGTGCCAATTCATGCTCTTAACGGTGTTTTATCGTATTTTCTTCGATCGAATTTAGCTTATCGTCGTAACGAGTTTTCGTGGTTTTGAGGATTTTTCACAATAACTTAGTGATATAACCTCCAAGTCTGATTCAGCTCGTCAACTGATCAGTGTCGATCAACTACGTTAAAAGGACAGGGTTCACACGTTGCACTATATACACTAGAAAAGGGTATGGTTCGTCCTAGATTCTTAGTATATACGTTGTGCAAAGTGGTGTGAAATGTGTTCGATTCATGTAGCTACTTGAGTTCCTAATATAGTTGTTCCCCCGTGACTCGGGGGTCTGTTTATTCCGTTCCGGGTTTATGGTATTGCATGATTGCAATATCCATGTTCCGACAATCTACTCCCAACCTTACCTTAGATAACTACGTAAGGTAAACAACAATAGTTATGAAGTCGATATCCGAGAGCCAAAAATACAATAGAAGTACTAGTCTCGACTTCAAGATCAAGATCTTCACCGACATCTACCAACGTATGAGACTCCCGGAATAATCATATATAGACGTATTTAGCAGTTTCCTTAAAGGACCGGCATTAGAGTTTTACTTCACGAACTCCCTATAGGAGAGAACCTTCGCGGAATCGTGCGAGAAACTTAGGGAATTCTTCGAAGGACCAGAGTTCTATAGAAGGCAGAAATAACTATAGGACAGCCAAAACCTTAGAACAACCATCTAAAAGAACCCCGACAAGAGCCTCTACCAATACTTTAAGATGCTACTTAATAAGCTCTATAAGCTCCGATATATAATCAATCCCTTATAGCGAACAGATGAATACTTATACGAAAAATTGATTTCAGTATATAAAGGAGTTAAAGTATACTAAATGACCCTAGCACACCTACCACCGAACCTCCCGGGACTTATCAACAGAATATAGACGTCGATAACTACCTAGGAAAACAAGAGAAAATATAAGGAGCCTGCCACCAACAACCCATCCATATTCTAGGCGGAGGAACTCCCTACAACAAACTTTATGGAAAGGAAGTTTATGCGCATAAACCCTATAAAATAACCGCCTAGACGATCAACGAACCCTCCCCGAACAAAATATAGACTAGGAACCAGCAAGAAATGTGGTGTTTACTATAAACCAGACTATATCTCATATAACCACACCAAGGAAGAAAGAGACACGGCCCGAGAACGATTCTAAAACAAATTTCAAAGAAATCAATAAAGAAGCTATAAACCCATATACCAGCAATTCATCACCAATATAGAAGGACTACTAAACCAGGAGCCGACACCCAATGATAAGAGCGATGAGGAAATAGACATATTCCTAAATAACTACCTAACCACGAAAAGCATAGGACCCGAAGACGACTCGGACTTAGAAAATGAAATCCTCTTCACAACTAGTTACGGAGCCTTAACGCCAGGATTTACGGAACAACTTATAATAGAGCTCTCTAATAACATTATGTTAGAAACCCTCGCAAAAACTCCCTATACACAACAGGAGAACTCTATAGCCTAAGGACCAAACACACCCCGGACAGGAACCAAGGAGGAATCGCCGTTTAATTATAACACAACCGCAACAACAAAAACCAGGTATATAACAACGACTTTCATAGGAATAATCATTAATACAGGAGCAGCCTATATATCAACCGCCGGGCACAACTAATTCTTAGCCCTACAAAATTCGGACCCCTCAGCGACTCTAGATACTTCTATAGCTAACCAGATCAAGGTTCGCTTCGGAATTAGAGAAGCATCGTCGGCTGGTTCGGTCATATTAGAGACCCCGATTAGTACACTCACCTTCCACGTTTTCCACTCGGATACACCATTCCTCCTATCCCTTATAGACATAGATAGACTAGGCATCTACCTAAATAATCTAGAGAACCTCCTTATCCGAAAAGATAGCCTAAAAGTCCCAATCATACACTAGTTTAGACATCTATTCATGGTTTAGGACTAATCACTTAGGGCCTATTTATTAAACATAACCGGAAATAACATAATAGAGAGCCGATTAACCGATATCATATACTGTCGGAACATGGATATTGCAATCATGCAATACCATAAACCCGGAACGGAACAAACAGACCCCCGAGTCACGGGGGAACAACTATATTAGGAACTCAAGTAGCTACATGAATCGAACACATTTCACACCACTTTGCACAACGTATATACTAAGAATCTAGGACGAACCATACCCTTTTCCAGTGTATATAGTGCAACGTGTGAACCCTGTCCTTTCAACGTAGTTGATCGACACATCGAATAGGTCAAAAGAGAGGAAAATCTCTCTATATAACCCACCATACATCGGGCATCACCCGGCGATGATAAACGGCCCTAAAAATATCATCGCCAACCATTTTCTTTCAACCACTCTTTGGTATCCAACATACTTCTTTCATACACCCATTCAATAACAATTTGGCGACGGAAACACTAGGCCATTTTTCCTTTCAGAAAACCAGATCACATAATACCATTAAAGGAAAAATCCCTGATTTCCCCCGCATTAGACACGGAAATCGCCCTTTTCCCCAGAAATAAAAGAAGAGAAAAGCCCACTTTCGTGTTGTCCACTTTTTATTATTTTTTCCCACTCACCACCTTCTTTACCCCGCACAAAGGCTGATTCTTCAACAAAAATCGGCCACCCAACAGATATAATATACAGGGCACTCGGGGGCATATCGTGCACCTATCCACATTCATTTATTTTATCGATCCATATATATAGCGACTCGAGATTTTAAAGTTGCTCCAGTATCGGAACATGGATATTACAATCATGCAATACCATAAACCCAGAACGGAACAAACAGACCCCCGAGTCACAGGGGAACAACTATATTAGGAACTCAAGTAGCTACATGAATCGAACACATTTCACACCACTTTACACAACGTATATACTAAGAATCTAGGACGAACCATACCCTTTTCCAGTGTATATAGTGCAACATGTGAACCCTGTCCTTTCAACGTAGTTGATCGACAGATCTTTTAAATAAAAAAGCTCAATATCACGATAGCAGACAGAGTCCGGAAGGTTCTTCGATGAAATATACTTCGGAAGATCACTTTTAAACACGTGGGCTCGTTTACGTTTGCCAAGGGAGGGGTTGCCGGGTAGAGAGGTGTTTTATGGAAGCAAGACACCGGGGCGAGTCCCGGTAATAGCAGACCATAGCTGCACTATAGCAAACTGAACAATCATGTTTCCATGACGAAAAAACCTTAAATGGACCTAGTGATGACGATAGATTACACAGAAGACATCTACATCCAGGGTATTCTTGTTCTTCGTTCATCGGGGAATCTTGCGCTCGGCCGGGAAAGGACCATCTAGAAACTATGCCCCCATCAGCCTCGTCTCTGCAGCAGGGAAGAAATGCTCGTACTCGTCGCATCTGCTTACAGACGTCTTCATTAACACGGCGACGAGCAAACAGTTCAAAATACTAGCAAAGGCGGCGCTAATACTCATCGTAAGACTATAGAGTCTTCTCTCGTGATGTTCTAAACATCCAGTCGAAAAAGTTCATGTAGATTACTTGATCCTCCCGCAGAAGATGGTCCACATAGTCCGCCTCCGACTAAATGGAGAATCTATTCTCGTGAGTTAAAACTATCCACGGTGCCTGATCCTAGAGTTATCCACACTCACTTTCGCCAGTAGCGTTCGACAACAGCAATACCTAGTAAGGTCCTTGGTTTGAAGTTTGGAGGAAGCCATCCAGAACGACGGAAATGTTCCAGTCTGGCTCGAGTTTCCTCGCAAAGGATAGGATCAGTCCAGTATTGGTGCTCTTCACTCTGAGCCTACCGAACGAGTAGACCTGCCATTTGGGAAAGCAAAGATGAATGACCAGGAGTGGAATCTAGAAACACGAGCAGCAAGGTTCGCGAGGTCGATTTGGGAGTCGGGAATAACAGATGAGAAGAGAATTGAGGAACTATGAGGACATTGATAGAGGGGAGGGAACGAGCATTTTATAGGCGCCCAGCCAAGCAGGGCGAGGAGGGAGGGACCCTGGATGGGACTCGAGAGGGAAGCCATTTTCGGCGTCGTTTCGGTCGCAAGTGGAATCTAAGGGAATGAATGTTGAGCAAGTTCCAAACATCAGAGCCGGTTAATGATGACTAAAGACGCTAGGTGGGTGCAAAATAGTGATGGTCCTAGACAGGGGGCGGTGAAGCGCTGGCTCCCCTGCAAATGTTACGGGTGGAAAGGCGGCCGTTTCTGGCGTCGAAAGCTGTCATTTTCGGCGTCGATTTCACAGGTCCCCATATTCTATATGTAATACCCGGACCTGTGAATTACTGCATCGGGTTAGTTTTGCCGTTTTCAGTCTAGCGCCCCCATACGTCGTTCTGTAAGCTCCGCCTTCAGTTGCTCTGGCATAAAAGCTCGCCCGGCCCCAGTGATCTCTTGTTTCTTTCCTTCCTTTCTCCCATCCCTCTCTACCTTGCACTCATTGCTGTCCCCTCTTTTCCATTTCTACCCCCATCAACCCCTGGGCATTGGCTCCCAGGCCCATGCACTGCCCCCTTTTTCCCACCGGAGAATGCTCTCTATCCGACGCCAAGGTCGTTCTGGCCAATGTTGGCTACCACGCCATGCAGTCGCTCCCGGGAGCAGAAACATCGCGGTGATCCAGGCCACAGTCGTACCATGTGATTGCGCGTGGCTCTTTCTTCACCCGTAGAAACCACTTTGAATTTCACCACGAAGCTGTCTACATCGCGCTCGGCCTGCGAGGCGGCCCGTTGAGCGATTAGATCCCTCCGCCCGCCTGCTTCACCATTCCGACGTCATCGGCTATTTTCGACTCTGCAAGGTCTTCTCTATTCGCCTGACCTGAATTTACATTGCACAGCCCCTGGTGTCGCAGATCCACCCCGTTGTTGTCGTCGTCGTCGGCCTCTCCGGTCCCGCCGCATCCAATCAGTGACCCTAGAAGGCACGCTGCAATGATGCTGGCCAATAGCAGATATCCCGCATACTCACCTAGTGTCGGCCCATGCTGAATTGTGAGGTCATTTCTGCGGCCAACCACCGCGAGGGCACAGTTTAACCAATAGAGATGCGGTTGGTTGTTTTAGGAGCGATGATCATTGTTTGCGAGAGGGTTCCATATGCATGTGAGGCGGAGTTGATGCCGGCAAACTCCGGCCTGCGGTTGTGAGACCGATGTGCTCTCACAATTTGGATACACCGGTATGGACTACCGAAGCTGGTCAGGGCCATTCCGCCTCGCGGTCTCGGTCTACAAGGAGACTACAGGCTTACCCAAACTTGATTTGAACCCTGCTGGACTCCCTCCCGCTTCCATTTTCTACTTTCCTTTCGTCTGCTCCCCTTCCGAGTCACAATTCTTCAATCACTACCTCCGAAACCTGTGCAGATGGAATTCGTCTCAGGGCAAAACGCTATTTCACCGGAACTCTCACGATATTCATCCAACATCCTCCGAGTCTAACATCACAGCCTCAAGCAGATGAAAAGTCCAATGCCACAAATTCGAGCGGCACCCCTTCCTGCCCGACCACCGTGGAGGTGCTTGAATGACAGCATACCATAGAGATGGACATAATATGGCCAAATTTGAAATCACCTTTCATTTCTACACGGAGAAACTAATCCGGACGCTAACGCTAAGACATACTGGACTAGGCTATATTCCTTTCAGTCATCCTAGTTTCAGATCTCTATCGCCGCAACTGGACGGGCTATCTTGGCACATGGTCCTAGAAAAAAGTCTTTGTGGAAAGCAGGAAGCCAATGTCGAATCTTGCTGTACACCATGCATTGACGGAGATCTTCAGATTTGAGAACAATACACAATTGCAAGATTTACCAGTCCCTGAAGTCAAATTTGCGCCATCTATGAGGGAGTCCTTCCACAGGTTGGGGTTTACGTCATTTGGACCACTTTTCAATGCACTGCTGAAGGAGGATTCGGCTTATTCGTAGCGGTTCGAAGGTGGGCCATGATATTTTCATAGGTAATCCACTAGCACTGCCATCGAGTTCACGTGCAGCGTATTGCTCGACTGGGTTGCTTCGTACAAATATTGAAACTGTGCCCTTATTCTGTTACCGGCCAGAACATCATCGTAAGTAGAACACGTGAAACAGTTCCATAAGAGCTGGTGGGAAATGATTGGCCTAATAACTACCACCTTCTTCACCGAGCCCTTGGGTCACGTGCCATCCGACTGGTTTTTAAATGACGGAGAGAAGTTTCAGGTAACGCCAGAAGTCTAACATAGTTCAGGAGTCTAAGACAGTCTCTCTAACGTTTCGTGACCTTTCTCATCCAGATTGGGGTACTGTCTTAGATTACACATATCCGTCCAGAATGCCTTTGCATCCTCGTGCGCCTCGCCATGTACGCCTAAGCGCTTTCGGAGCAGATTTTTCCATTCGACATCCATGTCAGTAAATCCAAAAGAGGCCGAGACGTACTCATACCAGATAGGGAAAAATGCAGCATATTCCCAGTCAAGTATACTGACAACCTTCCCGTCTCGGATCATGATGTTTCCCAAATTGAGATCGCAATGAGTGAGCACGTAGGGCTCGCAATTTGGTAGTCGCTTCTTCAAATTTTCCAAAACTCGCTGAGGGAGATAGTGAAGATTAAGGGCCAGGGCATCCCAGAGCTCTTGGTCGGAGTGAAATGGTCCGCGAGGCTCAAGATCGAAGAATAGTAAGCCTGGGTAGCATGGGCTTTGATCGACACATTGGATGGAGGTTGACGTGACGGATTTAAGCTGCTTACGCACTTGAACGACTTGATCCGCGATATCTATCTTTTGGGTTTCTGATAAAGAAGTCCATGCCTCCTCGAGCGTTTGACCACCTATACGTTCGTTTAAAACGAAGTATCGCCCATCGCGATCGACCCAGTCACGTAGGACCTTTGGGACTGGGATCTCGGGATAGGTCGCCAGATGGTTCAGTGTTTTGACTTCAATTTTTGCTTTTGGGCCCTCATCAGGCCGATCTTTCAAAATCACATCTGAACCGATGGACCAGACGCCCCGTGTAGATGCGCCATAGAATAGTTTAAGGTGGCTGGAATAGTGACAACGTTTTTCTTTGTCGAGTGTCCACCCGCATGCGGTACAACTATTGTCTATTGGTTCACCCATAGCGAATAGGTTTAAAATGATGTGATTTTGTTGCAAGAGATGTGCTTGATTCGGAATTGAAGGGAAACGGGAGAAGAGAGAAGGGAGAAATTTATTGACAGCGGAGACCCTTGCTCGGCACTGCATATTTTCCCAGGAGACCGACCGCCATTGGATTGGTGTAGATCCCCCCCACTCCGACTGCCTCTGGCCCCTTGTAACACGGCCCACCCCCTTTTCATATAGTGAAATGTGGTCAACTCCGCATAGTTCACATGAGATTGTAGACCTCAAGGCCAGACCGGGGCTCTTGCTCATTAGTAGCCAAAGGCCTATAAGGCCAGGCCATCCATCGATACGAAGCAGCCAGCCAGCCAGCAAGAAAGACCTAGTGCAGGGGCCCTCTTTAGCGCTTACTGGCAGAGCCTGCGTGGAAGTTATTGGTGGACGTAAGCAGCGGAAGCAGGAGTGTCGTGTGACATACCTGCAATATGTGCATATATCACATGTGGTACGTAGCTATCGTAATCCGATTGTCTTCCAGATTGAGGCTCATACCGTTTGTACCCCGCAGCAAACGTTCTATAAGTCAGCATTATTGTCCCTCTAATTTTCTCTTTTTGCATCACAATCACAATTTACTTTCATCATTCAGATCAAAACGCAATCGAAAAAGCCATCCTGCCAAAATGAATTGCCCAACGTGCGGCTACAATCATATCACTAAACCTTTCCCATTCACATGCTCGCAATGTGGTGGACAAGTCCCAGGATCCCAATAAAAAGGTTCTCTCCACAACGCACTTTCAAAAATCAATGCTAATAATCAATATAGTTTCTTTTTATTTTACATCACCAAATGACAACAGCCTCCTGCCTTACTGGGTAGGCCCAGCGGAGAATTTTACGCGTTCGGTTTTTAGTTGATACTGCGAAGCTATGACGGTGTCGCACGGAGTAACGAGATGGATTCCAGAATACGACAGAGTGCGTTACTACTATATGTCAGATATCAATATCAGTACATAGCCGAACCATAACAGATGCTTTTGTTGCAGTTCATAGACAGGTGGAATGTTGCTCCTGATAGATACAAAATATCAGTTGTGGCCCGTACGTAGCTGTGTCAGGAGAGATATGGCGAGAGTGCATCCACTCCAGACGGCAGATGAGTTGAAGCAAATTCAACTCAAAGTATCAACCGCATTGGTCAGAAATGGAATCCAGCGTATCCCCGGCCTTTTCCGTTATCATAAAGCTCCGACAACGGGCTTTTCCGAACTAAAGAGCGGGGATGCCAGCACCACCTGAAAGGACTTGTAACACTGAGCAGAGCCAAGACAAACGTTAACCGCTTAAGGTTAGTCGAAAGTAGCCTTGAATATGAGGTGTACGCAAAATTCCGGAAGAACCTATTTTCCGGGAGCCAGGAGATGTTGACAGAAAGCCGATCAGACCAGATCGTCGGTCGGGCCTTCATTGCGTCAAGGCATGACTCTCCCTTTCCAACGAATCGATGGCCGACCACAGCTCTCCAATCACAAGGATCTTTACCTGAAAGCAGACGAGAGACGGAAGCAGGCGGAAGAGCACGAGAAGCAGGCTGAAGAATGCGAGAAGCAGGAAGCAGAAATGAAAGCGATGTCTCCCTACTAACTGGCCACAGAGACATTCATCAGAATTGTATATAGGAATAGGAGAAGGTGGCAAACCTTGCAGGTAGGCCTGCGTGCTCGATAGCCGTCTCATCAAACTGGTACATGTTCACGGCGGCCGATGCCTATCGCGAGGAGTAGGGACTCTTCACTCATCGGATGAGAAACTCCGGGATTTTGCGTTCTTGCATCCTCCGCAGTGGAAGGGTCTGATCCCACTGTTATAGCCGCCCTTAACATCAAAGCTTACCAGACTGAGACGCATGACTGTCTCCGATGACCCCAAATGATTCGGAGTAGCTGCTTCTTGTCGACTAGGGCTGAGATTTGGTTGGCGACGACTGCTTCTGGCGAGAGGGGGGGTATGATCTCGGCAACCATTAGTCCCGCTGCCTTCCACACATCGGTACGGTGCTCAAGGCAAGAGATCCATCGTTTCGTGGCGGACGCGGCGACGGTGCAAGACGCGTGCAAAGCACGTTCAGAGGTTTGCGTCAGGTCCCGCAGAGTTGATACGTCCTAAGATAGTCAGCATGCATCCAGTTATATGAGAGTCCACTCACGGTCTTTCCATCCTTTACCATGTCCACTCTTCGTCTTGCACTCACAATGCACGACACTGCTGAGACAACACAGATATCTTCTTGGCTAGGATTGGCCTGACCTCACTTTCGACCCAACGCATCCTCCTTGCAATGTCATGAAAATCCCTTCGGGTTCGTCTCCCCTTCGCGTCCTTCGGCTAGAATCATAGCCGTCAATCAGAACAGTCATGGAGCAATGGTGATGAGCCAAGGTACCTGATTGCCAACGAATACTCTATCACGAGCTAGCTGCAGCCGTGGAGGAGTGCACATGTAGCCTTGTTCTGGCACACCCCTCGGAACTTTGCATCATTCGAGAAAACAGCGATGTGTGCGTCAGTTTGGAAGTGGTTTTCACTGTATGGCGGTATAACTCAAGCTGGGCATGCATCATCATTGGGTGCTGGAGGTCGTGCTGGAGGTCTTGCTGGAGGCCTCGCTGGAGGCACTATCTGTCAATTATAATTTAGCAAGTCGATAAGACAAGAGGCTCATGACTCACAAAAACAGCTTTGCACACGTTCTAGGCTAACAGGTTGATTTGGCTAACGATAGTGACCAGCAGGTGGGTGTGTAATCTTCGTAGCGCTGACTTGGAGCGGTCAAATCTAAGTAGACCGGGCTGGTCGTAACATCTGGTGTTCCAGCACAGTCTCCAATTGTGTTGGGCTGAGAGGGGGCTTACCTTGCATTCCCATGGTCAAAGAGCTAGTAAGAAGTGAAATTATGAGCTCAGCTCGACAAGGCTCATGGGTACTTGCATACTCACAGAAGGTTTGGGGCCAGTCTGGACTCATGGTCTGGCTGGTGGGCACGAACACGAGGAGAGTGGAGTGAACCATCAAGCGTGTACTGTAATGACATCTGAGTGACTTCACTGCTTTTGGTGTGCACTGTTCATGTCAGTGACTGGAAGAGCTTGAGAGAAATCAAAGGCGAGGAACTTATCATGGGACTGCTGCAGGACAGCTACCGGCTTTGGTGCGAGGCAAGTCAATCCAATGCAACAAGGTAGAGAATTGTTTCGACAGAGGACCGGGGGAGGAGGCCATATTTATAGGTCTTCGGCCTGTCTTTTTACCGCCTGTTTTATTTTGCCGCGGTGTAGTCTTCTCTGTCTGTCGCATTTTGAGGGGCATTGAAGTTGCCTGTGCAAAGTGAGGCCGGTTCGCCCTTCCTTTACTGAGGTGATGGGCTAGGCAACAAACAACTACAGGCCGGTGAAAAGTGAAAGGTCCTTTCAAGAGTCAATCGTGGCATCAATTCTTTGTGCTGAAACTTCTTGATGTAGCGTTGATCAAGCTTCAACCTTGTATCAACGACTATGATTTCAACACTCGAAAACAATGTGCAGCGGGTCACCAGTCAATTGCGACAGCGCGCTCTGTTATCACCATCATTTTACTTCCAGCATTGGCTGTAGGTTTGAAACTGAGGACGATGAGCGTGTTGTGTTCTGCGTATGTCTGCATCAACGCGCCTCACTTATTGATTACGGTCTTACAGGGTCCTAGCCACAACCCACTAAAAATATTTTCACTGGGTGTAGCCATGCCACATTTACTGTAGGACTGAGAAAATCGAATCCTGCTTTCTTGTTCTGCTCATTATCCAGAAAGCGTCATCTATCAAACACGACGGGGTTGTGTGGCCAGAACCGAGACTTGTATATTGTATACCGCAATGCTGCAGAGATATATCTAGTGCATGTAGATGAGCCCGAGACCCTACAAAAACTAGCAGAGAGAGACATGCCGGCAAAACTAGATCTGTTCTTTATTGTATGTACTCCTACGATAGATATCACTTCATTCACTTTGCAAAAACTCATACATATACCTTGACTGAAAGTTTGAATCCATTTTTGATTGAGTGATGCTTGATAAAAACGCCAGAACTATTTGCAAGACTCGCCTACAACCCTCCCTTCGCAAGGCGTAGAACAGATAATAAAAGTACCACGAATTTAGAACCGTAACGGCCAGTCGTCTTCATCAAAGCTGGAAGAAAAGCACTTTGATCTAATGGTCTGCAAATGGACCACGACAATCACGTGCGTCGTGGCTGAGCGGCGTTGCCGATCTGACGCGAACATTGGACGTGCGAGCGACTCGAGCCTCTATCCGCGACACTTGCAACACACGAGTACGCTATCGCACCGCATCTTTGATGGCCCGTGGCAACTACAATCCCTTAAAATTTCCGATCAATTCAACCGTGTCGCCTCTCTGGCCCACTGCGCTCGACTCGCCCAAACAACACGCTAGCCCCTCTCCCCGTTGCGAACCAACACCGGCGCTCGCGAAACCCCTATCTACATGCCGTTTCCTCAAAAATGGACCGAACTGCTGCTCGCTGCGGATGTGTGGGTGATATCTTGAACCAGGCACCCAGTCTCTGCATAGCCCACCGCTCGCGGTACAAATGATATCTCATATTAAGGCATAGGCTTAGAGATGAGGGCGGACGTTCATTTCTGTGATCTTTGCGGCCATGTGGCATGTGCGTTGACGAATACATTCAAAAAATAGTCCCAGACCCATAAACTCCCTATCCCATCTACAGCAAGCTTGGTTTTAGGATCATCTTGACCGGTCTTGGGAGCTGCAGCGCTCTTAGAACGCGTACTGAAGATCCTAGGCAGAATTTCACTTTTGCGGATGTAGGTGAGGTGTCCATGGGGTGGGCACTTTGGTTTCATGTACAGGCTTCTAGCCTGAGCGAGGTATGAGACGACTGGCCCTGAGATTTGAACCAGTGATCCCGCGAATGACTGAACCGGAAAGGGGAATGCAATTAGTGGCCCTGGGAGCTAGTTTGCTCCTGGGGCTCATGGGTCATATCCTAGAGCCGCTGGCCTTGATCCTGGGGCTCTTGAGGTTCATCTCGGGGCCATTTCCTTTACAGTCGGCCGGCTACCTAGCTAGGACGCCATACAAATGCTTTCCCACCCTGGCTTCACGATGACCTTATGGACCGGGACATCGCCACTTTGTTATAGAACCTCCATCATATTTTGACGGCGAAGACAGACCAAAACATGGATACTTTCATGGCCAATCTGTCCTCTGAGGTAGGAGTCGTCCTCAAAGAAAACATCTCAATCATCATGATCATATCTATGCTCTCAACCGCCGCATACAATGCCTTGGAAACGGTGTTTATCACGTTCGACATTGTCAAAAACCATCGCGCTCTATACTTCTGGAGCATGCAGGTCGCGTCGTGGGGCATCCTTGTGCATGCTCTTCCTGCTATCGTTTGCTCCGTATCTCAAGCGCCCACACTGCCAATGTCAATTCCTTTCATGATTGGATGGTACGCTATGGTGACTGGTCAGGCTGTTGTACTCTACTCGCGCTTGCGCCTTGTTGTGTTCGATACCAGTAAGGTGCGATGGGTGCTGTGGATGATCATCGCAAATGGTTGTATTCTGCATGTCCCAAAGACTGTCCTCTTCTTCGTCCGGATTAGCGGTGACGCACGCTTTGCTCGACCTGCTGCAATCTACAATCGAATCCAATTGGTCAGCTTTTGTGTACAATAAAGCGTCATATGTTGCATCTACCTCTATGAGATGGTGCGATATTTTATGTGTATCGACAGACTTTGCGGCCATGAACGCCGACATCTCATCATTCATCTGCTTTGCGTCAGCGGCCTCATTGTTGTCCTCAACATCCTGCTTCTCCTTACAGAGTATAAGCTGCACTTTATTCAAGTCAGTTTCAAAACCTTGATTTACAGCATCAAGTTGAAACTGGAATTCACGCTGCTCTATCATCTTTGTTCACCGATGCATTCCGATCCTCTGGCGTTCTCACAAGACCGAAGGCAACATTGCTTGTCAACAAGTAATTCGAATTTCTTGAACACGGTTCTCCCGCACTACAGTGTTGCGCCGGACGTGATAAGTCCACCTGGCGCTGATCCAGTGGGAGAAGGGATCCGATGTCACTCGCCACCTAGCAATACTCCTGAATATCACGAAATTCTACGCCAGATTTCACAATATTCAGGAGGGATTTGAGAGGGCCAAAGTACCGAATAGACCCCAGCTATTTCATTTTACCCAAGTGGGGTGCAGGGCCATGCCCACCGTTATCGTCATTTACAGCCAAGGTTGTCTCAAATCAAATATTAGCCCCTGATTGGCTACAGGCACATCGCACGGAGCTGACAAACACCTTTTGCTTGGCTCTAATGTCCCTTCAGTGAAAGATGTAGGGTGTCGCATTACGAAGATGTCGGTTTCGTGATTCCGTCCCTGCCCACACGGAATTATATCGCCCAGGTGCCTAGGCCGTGCTTGCTTCGTCAACTATGAATTGCACCTGATGATGTAGTCACCTCGAATCGTCATTCATTGCGGTGCGCTTTGCTTGTATCCACTCTGCTCGCCTGGATAACGCATAGGTCCTTTTCAGCCGGAGATATGGATTGGATGGTGACTGCTGTAGATGGCATCTCCAAGGAGGATTGTGAGGGAGCGGGTTTGGCAGAAAGAGAGCAAAGCAGGTAGAGGGTTCTATACGGCTAACTCATGAGCTCATCTTTATCCAAGATTGTTGCACCAGGTAGAGACTACTAATAAGAAGCAAGTCAAGAAAAGGGCTTCGGGTGGGAAGCAGATATCGCATGAAGGTAGTCTGCGAAGTTTGGAAGAGATTAGGGGTGGTGGAAAAAGACGAAAGACAGCGATATCTATGGCAGATGGTGCTGCAGAATCACCAGCAGAGCCTGCATTACCCCCTGTACATACCATACGGCGCCAGGTCACCTGTTCTGGCTGTGGAACCAAAGGGCATACTTATTCTCCATGTTCTCACAAAGTTGTTTAGCAATTAATCCCAAATTTAACTGTTGATATTTGAGATCGTAAATTGACCAAATTCCAAGTTCTCGGAGCATCGCTCGCGCGACCGGGAATAACGTTAATATCATCTACCAGGAGCATGCGATGACAAATGGCTTTCTGTCAGAGCAATACGGTAAATCTGATGATGACCAGCTGTCCGCTCGCGATCTGACCTGGTCATGCGCCGCATTGTTGACAGCTAAGATGCGCCGAAACTCCGTGGTTCCTGCCCCTTGGGGTGAGACCAGCGCCAGCAGTGTACCAGCAACCTGTGTTTCGAGCTCTGCAACAGGCTTATATAGCACAGCCACAGATACGGCGTGGCCGGCTACGTTGACCGGCGGCAGTAGCGAAAGTACTACTACTACTTCTTCGCCTGGCTCTACCACAACCGGAAGTACCACCAGCACCCACTAGCACGAAGACAATGAGCACCACCACCACCACAACAGCTTGCACTACCCCTACAACTGTCGCAGTTACATTCGACCTTACCGCGACGACAGAGTATGGTCAGAACATGTTCATTTCTGGCTCCATCTGCGCGCTCGGTGACTGGGATACAGATGATGCGATAGCATTGAGTGCAGACGACTATACTGACTCAGATCATCTTTGGCTTGTCACTATTGGTCTGACCGCGGGCGAGTTTTTTAAATATAAGTATATCTTCGTCGAGAGTGATGGCACTGTGGTCTGGGCGGATAGTGATAACGAACCAGACACCGTTCCTGCAGCTTGTGGAGAGACGACTGCCACAGTTGACGATACCTGGGATAGTTGAGCCATGTTATGAATTACATCTTGACCAGAAGAGCAGAGGCGCTGTAAATGGTCAAAGTTTGTACGCGAGACAAATTATTTCAATACAGGCATCCCATGATAAAGTTCGAAATAAAGACCATATCGCATGATTCAAAGTTGAAGTTTCTATTTGGGGAAACTAAAGTCGGATCCAAGAACGATATCTAGACTTTCAAGAATCCCACAATCAGAGCTTGAGACCTCGGGAATGACCAGGAAATCATCGCAAGAGCGGCGTCATATATCCCCTTGCTACTCTTGAGCTTGCGGGGATACTCCATGTCTGCCCAATTTTCCAAGGTTAACTATTCAAATGTTTAAGTTAAATTCAAGTTTGACTCCATTCCCATCCTTGGAAGCCTTGAAGGTGACTAATTATGGTTGATTAATTTGAGGACCGACCCTGGGATGTTTTAATTCAAGTTCTAAGCTTTGATTGCCTCATTCCACATTATTACCAGTAAGCCTGTGGACGTTATACATATGCACAGGTGTAGATATCGGGAAGTATGTACATTCCGGAAAAGTACCCAGGACAAATAACTAGCCATCTCTTCCTCTCCAGTGATGAATCCTGGAGCCTGAGGCTTCGAGGGTTGCTAGCGCATCAATCCGAGCCTGATTGACAGTGTACCTGGTCGCCGTGGTCTTTCCAATCAAGCTATTGAGTTTTGACGTCTGGCGTCGTCTCCCATATATCGGTAGAACGGAAAATCGATAATATCTCATCTGGGTAATCAAAATTGAGAAAGGCAGGATTAAAGGGCTCCTTGCGTATCGCATGCAGCTCTGTATCATTGTCTTGTTTGACCGTCCAGACAGACGCCAATTCACTGAAAAAGCCATAGTTGATGAATTTCTTTACTCCCCCGCGGAAAGAGGAGTACTGGTCTAATTCAGTATGCTGGTACACATTGCTAAAAAGAGGCTCCATGACAAGCTGGACAAGACTTTGTTGGGATGTGCGTATTTGTGTGAAGAATTGCTTGACGAAAATTTCGCTCATAGCACAGTTGATCATGCAGTCTCGAATGAACCATCTAGGGCAAACATCACTACCCCACTTGGAATCCGATGCCATGCCCTTTTCAAACTCAGTCAATTCTCGCAGCGGGACTGGCATTCTGTTGGCATCAATTTGTGGTAAGCAATTCAACACAAGGTCCAGCTTTTTGAGGGATGGAAACCGGCCCAGAGCACTCGACATATCTGTTTGGGGATCTGGATATCCCTGTACACAGATTTGTAGCTTCTGAAGAGATGGGCAATAATCTGCTAACCATCGAACATGCTTAGTTGAAAATATAGGTCCAACCTGCCCCTTTTCACATAGGCGAGATATAGATCTACCTCTGGAGCATGATTCAGGTTGTATTTCCCCATGCAATCCCAATTCAACAAGAGTCTGTCCATGTTTATAGCCTATCACATTGTTGGCAAACTCAGCAGTATACATCCCAAGTAAAGAAAGATGTGTTAAACAGGGTAGCGAACTAAACATTGACTCCGCAGCTTGCCAAAATTTTGGGCCATCGTCATCTTTTCGTGGAACTAAGGCAACAGTGAGTCGCCTTAGCTGTCGAAATGGGTGATCATCCACGATAGACTGCAGTAGTGTCGAGTTTCGAATACAGCCAAAATTCAACGATCTCAGAATACTGAAATCAGTGATTGTTTGCCAATCCTGAAATTGCTCAGCTGTCATTTCGGTGCGAAGAGGCCATGACATGGTTTCTATTCTACCGGGTCCAGGCGGTTTGTCACTTCTGGCTTCCTTATCCACTCCGAAGCCTCTGAGGTGCTCTCGCCGAGTTTGAGGGTGGCACCTAGAACTAATTCGTAATGCAATCGTTTTGAGATTAGGCGCATATAACACAAAATTCTGTAGCGTTCTATCCGGATGCACAAAAAGTGGGCTCCTATCACTATCCTCCAAAGCGGTCAAATGAACAGCATATAGCATCGGTGAGGAAGGCCACACTGGGTGAATAATAGGAAACATACCACACCCCCGAAGTGGGTGTCGATCCATCAAAGTGCTGAAGAAAGACACTCGACAAGTAGGGTGATATTGCGAAAGAGCCTCGAAGAGCTCGATCGGGCCACCATAGAAAACAAATATATTCACATCATGCAAATAAGGTATTCGTCGAATCAGATCGATGACAGGACTCCAATCACCCCCAACGTAGAAACCAGCCTTGGGGACGTTTCGATCATTTAAGAAAGCTCCTTCCAGCACACGGGGAATGTCGGAGTACTCCCGATCAAGCCTTTCCCTGGTCTGAGGACCTATGCAATTGGGGCGAAACGTCTTACGGTCGGACTGCGGCGTGAATTCTGCCACAAGGCTCACTTGTCTCGCTTGTGTGAGGATACGTTGGTCATCCGGTATGATAGGGATTTTTCCATCTCTCAGGCGGATGATGATATGTTGATTCAAGAATCTTTTGGCAGTTTCATTCCATTCACGGTTGACTAGGCACAGCGCTTTAAGGCTTCTTTTGGACATATGTCCTGTCTGTAGCTTGAATTAGAGGTGCAAGTTATTACTTCAGACACAGAGGCTCACCCAATCGGCGATTATATGCCTGATCTCTAGTGGTAGCTGATCCATCGTTGAGAAATCCCAGTCTCAGTACCAGTGGTCACATATGATTGAAGATAAGAAAGGATTGTTGTCTTACTAGAGAAAACAAAAGAGAGCGCGCTGAAAGACCATTCCAGGTTGGTAACCTTGGGAACTCGTACGTGCTGACTAATGTATGTTTCACAGGTAAGTCACCGGAAGAGTCATTTCCCGGTATCCTATTTCACCCCCTTACAGTGGGGTCTGATAAAAATTCGCACATGGGTACATTGCCTTCTACACCGCCTATTTACACCGCCTAGCTGTAAACAAACGCGTCTGCGTTCAACTTATTATTTACTCTACTATTTACCCACCTTACCATTACTATGCCTACTCCTCCACGTCGTCAACCTAAAGCTCAGCTGTCACCTTCGACACGCTCTAGAATTTGCGAGTTAAAACGCATGAATGGCTGGGGAGCACGTCTTATTAACAAGCATGCCTTTCCTGATATCCCTGTGTCTTCTATTCAGAGCACCCTGCGAATGGAAGCTAAACGCGGTGTCGATAACCACCGTGTTCCTGGTTCTGGGCGTCCTTCTAAGCTTACTGAAGCTGAAAAAACGTCTCTTTATACCGCGGTTGAGCAGAATCTTGATATCTTGATTAGAGAGCTTCTTGCCCTTATTAATAATAAGGTTGGACGTGATGCGTTGTGACGTCTAATGCAAGCTCGGAATCTCCGGAAATGGAGGAAGATAAGACGTCCTCTACTAAAGGAAATACACGCGGAAAAACGTCTAAGATGGGCGCGTGAATATGAGTATTTTTCTCCTGACGACTGGCGTCGCGTCTTCTGGTCTGATGAGACTACGGTTGAAAGGGGTATTGGAGAGCGTCCGGAATGGTCTTTTATACGTCCTAAGGATCAATGCGATCGATATGAAGGTCCTAATGGTGTTGAAACAAGCCAAATTCAGCAGATTCCTGCGCGCGGTAAACAGGTTAAGCAGATGTTTTGGGGTGCGTTTTCTGGCTCTTTACGACGCACACCTCTAGTTGCTCTAGATGGTGACCCTGAATCTGCTAAAGGTGGTGTTTCTGCGCGTGTTATTGATGCTGTTTATCGTCGATATTTACCGACCTTGATGAATGGTATTGAAGGTGCTATTTTTCAGCAGGATAATGCTCCTGTACACACCGCGCGTCTTATTCAGGCGACACTAGAGTCACTTGGCTTTATTGTAATGATATGGCCACCTTACTCGCCTGATCTAAATCCTATTGAGAATATATGGGCGCTTTTAAAGGCAGAGATATTAAGATTACGTCCTGAGCTCATATATTTACCTAATGATGACGATACGCTAGAGCTATTAGTAGATACTGCTCAGCTAGCATGGTCTAATATTGGGTTTAATGTTATGGAAAAGCTAGCTCTTACTATTGAGGAGGCAGGGATCGGGAAGGAGAGATGAGGGGATGAGTCAGCAGGTGGGCCCTTAAGTGGGATGATTCCGTAGCCATAACATAGTTAGAACATATATCCATTGATTTTCTAACCAATCATCATCCATCAGTAGCCAGAGGCTGAAAGCATTGACCGCGACTCCTTGGTCCGAATGATCAGGGTAGGGGTGCTTTAGTCCATTTGTCAGTTGTGGGTGGGAAGCATTGAGTAGCTGTTAGTTGTCTTCACTATGCTGCGTAGGGTAGCTCAGGTCATAATAAACCATGGTTGGCATACTAAATACTGAATATGATTGAAGATTTAAAGATTCTGCTAGGCAGTAAATAAGTAGGGCTTATACCTTGTGCGAATTTTTATCAGACGGCACTATACACCTAGGCACTCTTCATCACGAAGCTGGACATCATCTACTATATCATGTATCTATGGATATATACATGAAATGGTATCTCTGGACATCCCTAGTATCTATCCCCCTTAAGGTTATCGTCTTTTCTGTCTAGTCAATTTTCATCCAGCACCGGAGAGAAATTAAGAAAGATCCATAGCGTCCTCGGTGCTGGTTGACATATCCTCGAAAGTGAAAAGCATATGCTGACATAGTCCGTAGTAGTATGCGTCTTCGACCCAGCACATACTTCTCGTCTTCGCGTCATCATCATCCTGGATCTTATTCTGACCTAAGACGATAGTGCTGCTCGTCCATACCGTAATACTATAAACTGTCTTTACACCTAGATCTGCTTTGTGATTGATGAGTAGCCACGCTTAGGGATTACCATTTAGAGATCTAAGCAGCGCGTTGAATTCTGTGGATCCCTGTGTAAAGACCTCGGGCGATGACCAGTCATTATCCCGAGCCTGCATAGCCATGTTCATCGCAAGTCTCGATCCCACGTTCACAACATTCAACTGAATGATATATTGTAGAGTAGCGACATCTATACCCGCTACGCTTGCTTAGCTTGCCTATTCGATATACATCATATCGGACAGCTTACTAACAGCGGGAGCTGTCATATCTTTAGGCCACCAATCATTATCCTTATTTTTACTTATGATGAAACTCGGGCTCCACGTATAGTCTATAGTAATAAGGCCACCTGCGACATTATACCAATATTTATACTAAGCTTCGGCCTTGTCATCGATGTTTTCAACCGCTTCGGTATACTCCTAAACAAAAGAAATTGTTAATTAGCTTATAAGTTTCTTCTTAGTCCGTTCATCGGAGAATAACATCGATAGAATAGTGATAAGGGAGAGTATCTAAAGATAGCGCGCGATGCTATATATATATATCACTATCAAGCACCCTACTTTCACTAACCACCTACTTCTAATCAGTAATATTGTTATTAGCTAAATCCACGCTGATCCTATCTATCATATAGAACTTCTCGTCATCATCGTTATCCTCCTCATCGTCTAAGTAGCCACTAATTCTCGTCCGATCGCTTACGATTTCTTCGTCGGAATCTATAATAAGTATCTAACCAGCGTTTTTTAGCTAGGCCGTGGTCGTATATACTGCTGCTGGATCTCCCTGAAGCTTGGCTGATGCAGCAGCATTATCCATTTAGCTCACATAATCAAGATTCTCTCCTTTTGCCGTATACCCTATATATTCTGAGGCATCGGTACGGGTGGCAATGTTAACAGCACGGCTGGCTAGGACATAATCCTGCTTCGGGAGACTCTAGCTTAGATTAAATCGGAAATTTTCTATGTTGAGTGTTGACTCTATGTTTAATGGAACATCTCGGGCCTATAAAACATTCATAAAGAGCGCAACGAGGAAGAAAAAAAGAGTGACAAGAGTGAAACCACGATTAAGGTAAATCATGGCTCAGATGCTCAAGCTTAGTAAAGAGCGATAAACAAAAAAAGAAAGTCAAGGAGTATAGATAAGTAGTAAAAATAAAAATGAATATATAAAATCAAAAAGAATGAGGTGCCATGAACTTAAAGGATAGTGATTAGGGCAGATGTAGTAAATCTGGTTTAAATATAGACTTAACCGCCCAAGGCAGATATTTATATAGTATACTCTTACTTCTAGACTCCGAGTACTATACTAAATTCCTTTAGAGTGGGTATTAAATGTAGTTTTTCATTTTACCATTATTCCTTTATTAATTTTCAGGCATTCGTATTTTAAGTATCATTTTTTATAAGTAACTAAGCCCCTTTATTTTTTAGATTCCATAAGCCTATACACTAGCACTAGTGGTGGTAAAAACACCCTAAATATTTTAATGACCAAGTCTAAGTATACTAGTATAAGTTAGCGTGGAACTAGGAGAGCTAACCAAACTAGGTAATAACTATAAAGTATCAGACTTCGGTGTATCAATCAGTGCGCATATAGAGACATAAAGGGAGTTCGGATAAAACATCCGTCCCTATAATAAACTATAGTAGTACAACTTCAGGATCTCACCGACGGTCAAAATAATATTGAAAACTAGAAAATAGTTGTGAACTTTTAATAAACTACCCAAAAAAACCTAGTCGAAACTTGGTGCCTCAAATTTTGATTAATTTTCACAACAAATTCCAAATTTCAGATTAGAAAAAATAAAATGGAAATGAAGCTGTGAATGAAACATAAAAAAAGAAAACCCCTACTATCTCTATATAATATATACTAATACTTAGCTGCGGAGCAACCTTGGAATTGATAGCCATAGTGTTTAGTAGAGCCTTCACTTAAACAGTGATCCTTTGCTCTACTAAAGGAATGGCGTGCCCGAGGAACCTCAGAACCTCATAACCTTAATGGGTAAAGATGGAAACGAGACTTGATTTGGTTCGGTGTATATGCACTAAACCTATCCGAGCCTAGTATACGTGAAAAGCGCATAGGGCACCTACGATGGAGACTTGGTAAGCAGGCAAAAGATAGCTATACCCGAGTATATATCCACTAACAGCTTAGGATTCCCTTCTCGTTTCGCGGGTTTAGCTGTGTTCGCCTAAGCTGTTCCCGGCCGGACTCTTTTCTTTTCCTCGGTCGCTGGGGCCCTAGGGAACGATGGAATCGTCTCGAGTCTATAGCTTTCTCCGGAGTTGACCTATGCCTCGACCAGTCCATCGATGTTTAACATGTGCATAGGTTCGGAGCTTATGGTAATCAAGTCCTGACTAAACTAACATACTCGTTTTTTTTCCCATATATTATGTATATCTAGATCAATACTTATAGCCATATAGGATAGCCACAACCACAGAAAGCGCCTCACACCGGTCGCCGTTATATATAAGGGGGAACAGGAAAAGGATCGAGGGATTTACATCTCAGGTATACATTATATATAACCATTAGTTGGTATCCGCACGGAATCCTAAAAGCCGACATCTTAATGCTAAGCTCTATCTGGGCGTGGATATGAAAACTAGGGACAGCTTGAGTCCACTTACGGAGGGAGCATCCGAGGTTATAGAGGTCCAACATGACCTTCCGTATCCCGCGTACTAGAGCCCTGCGGCTGCGGCATCTAATGACTGACGCGCCATATTGATTTGATAACGATCGTCCCGGCTCACGTCCGGATATCCCGTACCTTGGCATATTGCCCTTTTTCCTTTTTCATCCCGCGGAGCTCTCCGCGCAGGGCCCACCGGGGTTGGCCCTATAATATACGCTACCTATATTAAGACGCTAGCACACTACTAGCACTGATTTTGCTAAGGAAGCTAAGGTTGTGAAATCTCTAAAAATAAAAATAAAAATAATGGACGACGAAGATATTTTGAGCTTTCGAAAATCGTCGAACGCTGTCCTATATACCAGCATTTCCGTAGTAAATGCCGAACATCAAAGAATTAAGGATAGTGGGTCACTAGTGGTACTTACTCCGGTAACTAGAAATCAAGATACCAGCAACTTCTATGAATGAGTCGGTCCGAAGGTCCTTTATATTGAATTCAAGTTATTAGGTAATATTTAGTACCAGTAGGTTGTTCCGAGTCGAGTCGTATAAAAGATCATATATCAAATATGTATGTTATATATAGATCTAAAAATACTGGAATTATATTATATTCTAGTTAAGCAAATCGGTCCAAATATTTCCATCTTTAACGTTAATAGATTTCACGTAACTATTATAGTGGGGAACCATGTCCCCTATATATCTTAAGACCATATAGGTCACGTTTAGTCCCGGGATGGTATCAGAAGTACCATTTATACTAGATAGTATTAGTTAGAGAAAATACACACTCCGACACCTCTCTCATCGGGCCCCTATGGGTGGGTTCTCACCCTTGATATACGCTATTAGATTTTTCTGTGGTGTTGGTTTATATTGCTAGATTGACCTATGCACCTAGAGTGCACTGCCTTCGAGCGTTCCCCTTATTCACTACCTAGTATGGTTTATTCATAGGTTTCAGGTTTGAGACTTCAGCCTGAGAATTAGGACATATAGACATAAAATGATATCAAAGGTTCTAGTTTATCCAATCACGAGGTGCTAATATAGATATAATATCCTACCTATAGAGAGCTGTAAGTGTTACTAATAATAGGGTTCTAATCGTAGAACTCATCTAGCGTGATTCTAGCATCGCTAGCGATGGTTGTATACTCGTCTCCACTAATAACTAGATGGTACATATTGTAGTCATCGACTATACTACTCTTAATAGGTGTAGGGGTGACTAGTGACGCGGAAGAAGAGCTAGAAGTCGCTATAGTGGTCAAAAAGGCTATAGCACTCGTAGTAATTACCACTGCCGAGCTACTACTCGCCTCCACGCCAACATAGACATAATCACCGACCCAGAGAGAGGCGCAAGTACTGCCAACGGCTGGATTCCAGGCATAGAAGTAGGTCAGACTAATATTATAGCCGCTAGCGATAGTTACATAATCATCACCACTGACGACTAGATAAAACTTATCGCAGTCACTCACCATACTAGTTTAAATAGGAGAGGGAGTTAAGAGGGCTGAAGAGGTTAAAGTTGAGGTCAAAGAGGGAGTTAGAGTCGGGATATAGCTAAAGCCTATAAGTGCTACCCTAGAAGATGACGCCACAAGGTAACTTAAGGGCAGGTAAGTGCTAGCGATAAAGTTCACCTACACGCAGTAGTATAGATCAGGAAGCATTTCACAGCTTATGCTAAGATCCATCATAAGCGGGTTCTAGTAAAGCATTAGTAAAAGTGCAAATCCTAGAACCGAGAGCGTTATTTCATTACCTATTCTTTAAACTCGGCGGCGGAAATCTTGTATAGCACTTCGACCGCCTTATAAGTCGACCCCTCCTGATATAAGTACTATAGAGTGCAATCCTCGCTACTTCCTAGGGCTGCCACACCGGCCGGGCTAACGAGATAGCCTACAGCCTGCCCTAGGGAAAGGCTAAGGGCAGAGAGAGCCTAGTAGAAAGGCCTTATGGTATACATGGAACTTGAAGAAGGAACTTGGATTGGGGACTTGAAGAAGGAACTTGGATTTGGAACTTCCAAGGTTAGATTTTTGAGTTGGGATTTAGGGTTTAAGTTCGGAATAAATAAGAACCAGAAGATATGTGATACCTAATCTTAGAATTAAATAACTTGGATTTATGGCTTAAACTAAATTGCCCCGAACTATATATATAATAAGACTCCACTACTCCACATGTGCACCTCTTCTAAGGCTCTAAAAGTCTGGTATCCCTCGATTTCCCGGAAACGAACAGACTCGGACAAGGACTCCGATAATCCTACTCTAGGGCTAGCTATAGGCGTTAGGGCCGGGCAGTGCTAGACGGGGAATTTATTACCTAAAGGTGGTAACGGGGTTATATTTATATTTATAGAAGCCACTTATTTATTAGAGTCTTTAATAAGGGATGTTTTAACGAAATCTAGAAACAAGGCACATTCACTAGTAAGCGGGTCGATCCTGCCAAGAAAAATACTAAGCTTAATATCCACGAGGCTTATCAGCCTTATATTATATAGGGGGGTTACTAGCGTTAAATTAAAATTATATTATAGGGCCCTGATCCGATTGGAAATCTCGGATAGCTCTGCCCCGGGGGCCGTGACCCTAGGAACCCTTATAGCCTATATGTTACGGAGCGCTGCGGGTGTGTATTTTCTAGAAAAACCATACCCGTAGAGCTACTTATATACCTAAAACCGAGATATTTCAAGTTATATCATATAAAATTTAAAGGTGGTGGAACATATATGGTTTTTAAAGATATCTCAGAGCTCTAGTGGTAGGTCCGAGTCCCCAACTAGGCACTCCTTCTCTTTTCTTATGATTTTGTAATATCTAGATGTCTATAGTACACTAATATATATATATATTCTAGCGTGCCTAATTAGTATTTTCTATCGCCACTAAAAGTCAGGTAGTCCGGCCGGATTATAGTGGATTACCTAGTACCGGCTATATACCTATTCCATAAGGGCGAATATTCTAAGCTTAAACTACTATCTATTAGGTTTGATGTCCGGAAATCAATGAATGAGAGTAAGTTATCTTTTCGCGCTAAACGAAGTCTTCGCTATATGGCCTAATTAGCTATAAATCTGGATTATTCCGCGAAGTGCCGCGGCCCTCGCTAAGAATTAGTCCGTGTTATATAGAGACCCTACTTAGGTGGGGTGTGTTTTTTCATACTAAACGGCCCTAGCACCTAGGCTTAAAAATCTTCGTGGAAATATTAATACTAGTATGTCTCTACTTAAACATCGCTTATCCTTAGAACCTTAACTAGCTTATTTAGTGCAGCTGAAAAAAAAGCTTATATGTGGTTTAGTCCGGTATTTTTTGTTCGACTTCGGCTAGATTCCGAGTTCCTACTAGTCTACTATAAGACTAGTCGTCCCTTTCTGTTTCCTCTCTATACTGATGAATATAAGTAGTTACCGCCTAGTAATTAAGACTATACCAGATAGGGAGCCTTGGTGACTATATGGTAGAGCAGAAGTTGAGATAATAGATGTAAACGAATTAGAAAAGTCCCTTATCTCGCACTTCCTTCTTCTAAATCATTTTGACCTAATTTAATCTAGAAATCTAGTCTAAAAACTAGCCTAAAACCGGCATTCTTAACTAGCCTATTCGATAATAGTGGATACGGAGAATTAATTATGAGTTCTAAGGCATCTTATATATAGAATTAAACTATTTTTGGTCCTAACTTTCCTTTATATACTAAATGGTTATGCCTCGGAAGTAGAGCCTCTTCTCTGTTCTCTATCAACCTACCTACCTTTGCCTAGGAGAAGGCTATCCTCTTATTTTTGACCCTAAGTGGTCTTTTCATTTATTATATTCCTTTTTTTCATATTGCTTTTATCGATTGGCTTCATTCTTGTGAACTTTCATTCTTTTCTTTTCTATTTTTCCTCTTATCATGCGATAGACCGGTAGTTTGGCCGGTTTCTTGGCAGGGACACTTATCTCCTAGGCCGTGCCTTGTTTATCATCAGATGTGAATTCAGCTGAGGTTTACTCGTCTATTAGCTCGTACTTAGCAGCAAACCCTATTACCACGCGTTATATAACCTAAACAGCTGATGTAGCGAGTATAATGGCCTCCGCCCTTGCTAGTAACTTTAAGCCTAGATTACCTACCGCGAGCAGAAGTCGATGCCTAGTGAGCTATAGTAGCACTAGCCTCAACTCTACTACCTGGTCAGTATACCATAGCGTTGGTCGACTTAATCTATGTAATAACACCATGCTGCTTGATTTCAACCTGTTTAATAGGCTGAATGATCCAAATACGTATATCAGTATTGCGGCCTGTACTACGGACTTTAATTCCTCTTCTTCTTTAGTCGCAGAGAACTCCTAAGGTACCATTTATTCGCCATTTTCTATCAATCAGTCTTTAGCTATATCTTCTTTAGAGCTGGCCTCGTCTAGTTCAATATCCTCCACTAGTGTATTAGACGTCGTTGATGCCCTTAAACAACTCTAAACTTTCTTTAACATCTCTAAGTCCGGATGTAACGACGCGATTTAGATCGCCTACTTAGGCTAGGCGGCAGTTGGTGTCTTTATCGGCTCTGGTCTTAATAGGCAGGGAGTCATCTCGTCTATACTCGAAAAAATTACTAGTCAAATTGAAATAGACGGCACCATTGCCTAGGAAACCGTCGTTCAGACCGAAGACCCTGCAGCTAGATACTCCCTCGGTGTATATATTAGTACCTAGGGAGATCTTGTTTCTGTGCAGCAGGCGATCTAGTCTTAGAGCCAGAGTAGCTATATAGCCTTAATAGATGGATCGACTTAAAACTGGCAGACTCTCTCGTTTTTGATTCTATCCTTAACTCAAAATTCATCGTCTACTAGCAACTCTACTTACTTGGCTAGGAGAGGAATCCTGCCCGGTGTAAAACGCTAGGCTTCTTATCTATACTATAGTTACTCGTATTCTTCTCTTTACTATGGTTGTGCGGTGAACACTTAACTATAAGCCCGTGATGATAGTAACGAATGCACCACCATTTAAGCTATATTGGGTGATGAACCGACCTTTCTAGCTAATAAGTATGGTATTATAGTTGCTAAGTTTGACGAGTATAATTCCTTAATCAATATGACAGACCTTAAAGCTAGATAACACATCTATTATATAAATAGAAGTATGCCTGATTATACACCTAAGCCTGACTCCGATGATAACTACTATTTGTATATAGTATAGACTGATGATACCTATAGTGCTCTAGCGGCGGTATACGATATCACTATTAACGAGATTGAGACCTAGAATAATAGAACTAATAGAACCTAGGGCTAGATAGGCTGTGGAGACCTGCTGGTGGGCAGCCATATCTGCTTAAGCAGCGGATGGCCACTAATGCTATCTATCATTTCAAACGCTATATATAGTCCTTAGGTCAACGGAACCGCTACTATAACATATGGTACCGATTTAAGCATCCTTAACGAGTGCCCTCTTAACATATGCTGCGATATCTAGGGCTAATATGGTATCACCGCAGAATTCTATACTAAATCTAACTCGACGACAGGTAACCTAGGAATAATAGCTAAGGATTAGAACGGATGTATTTCTAACTACGGCATGGATATTATTGTTAGTGACGCTCTATCTAAAACATACTCGATCGCTTATTTTAAAGCATTTAATTAAACCCGATCGTGCCTGACCATATTAGTTGATTAAATCAACACCACACTCTATTCCTATATTTACTTTACCTTTACCACTATCACTAGTAACTATGCTATTAATGTTACTAGTCTTGAAGATCAGCTTTCCCTATTTTTAAATATGACTAGGGTTAAGCGTATCTTGTCGATTGGCGGATGGTCCTTCTCTATTGATACGGATACTTATACGATCTTCTGGGACGCTGTTACTATAGCTAATCGAGACACTTTGATTAGCAACGTTATCGAGTTCTTGGAGGAGTGGGATCTCGATGGTGTGGACTTTGACTAGGAGTATCCCGATGAGCCAGATATTTCGGGTATCCTAGCAGGAACTACTACAGATAGTACCAACTACTATATCACACTGGACCTGCTGAAGGCCTTAATGCCAATAGGGAAGATAGTTTCTCTCACTGCCCTAGCTTCCTTCTGGTACCTCGAGCGATTCCTAATTAAGGCAATCAGTACTATAGTAGATTATATTATTTATATGACCTATGACTTATATAGCTAATGGGACTATAGCAATGCTTACTTAGACGATGGATGCTTAGACGGCAACTATCTGCGATCCTATATCAACCTGACCGAAACCCTTAGCGCTATGTCCATGATCACTAAGGCGGGTGTTTCTTTAAATAAAGTGGCTATCGGAGTAGCTAGTTACGCCCGCTCCTTTAAGATGACCGAGGCTGGCTGCTGGACTAATATATGCACCTATACCAGACCTGACTCCGGCGCTTAGCTAGGCCCTTATACTAATACCATAGGATATATTT